TATAAACTCCTTAAAAGAACCGTCAAGTCACTCTATCAGGTGGTTCTTGAGAAAACCAAGGACCACCGGTGACAGCGCCATATATTAACCAAATGCCAACGAAACCCCTGCTGTTTCTTGTTTAATGGATCAATAATCACGAATATCAGTACATTTTACGTATGTCATAATTGTTAAAATACCAATAAACTTCATAAATTCCACCCACGTTAAATCATTCCACCTACGTTCACATTCACGCGCACATCTATTTGTAATGGAAATTACTACTGACATTATAAAATCAATAGGCATAAAACGTTCGAAGAACAGTCTGGGTGTTGCGTTAGAAATGTCAGCAATATGTACAACTGGTGAACTGGAATAGGAGTGTAACACTTGATGAGGATCAATAGTAATAATTTTATTAATCCATAGTGTATTATTATTTGCATTATGAATTGCTGCCTCATCCTCAATACTATCACTATCAGTATCACTTGAAATGTCCATTTTGCACCTTGTTTCCTCTTCGTTACTTATATTTTGATTAGTGTCTACACTAATAGAAAAATCTACAAACTTCATACGACCCGCTGAGACTTCAATCTCTATTTTTATTTGTGATTCAGGACAAATTATCCAACGGTTATTTCCTGGTGCTACTCGTAAAACTGTTGCAAAAAGTCATTTGGTCTTCCATAATTTTCCCAAAAGCGGCTGAGCAACATTTTCACTTACAACTGAACTCAAAACAAAAACCTTGATGCCTTCTTTAATATTTGAAGAAATCTATCCCATTTCAAGTTCAGAGAAGAAAAAAAAAGGTTAGTAAACTTGCAAGAAAAAAAGAACTTTTATATTCCCATGCATGCCTTATATTAATAAGCACTCTCATTTATTTTTTCTTGCATAGCTGATGTGTTGATTCCTTGATTTGTGACTTTGAAGGAGTCGAAGGAGTTATATGATCACAAAAAATTTGAGTTTTTTATATTTAAATTGGGTAATGTCCAACCAGTTCAATATACAATGAGCAATAAAAGATTATTATAAATAAGATAATTATCTCATGTGTACAAATCAGTTATATAACACCTACTTACTTAGATTTTAACCTTTTTTAAATTAGTTGATTTATTCAGTATTGATCATTGTCATTTTGTCACACCTGACACTACACCCTCATAATCAACACATGATTTTGCCTTACATACAACTCTAAAAAATCTATAATATTTACTATAGAAATCCCTTAACATAAGTTAGTAGTCTATTAATTTTGAACCCCTGTTATCTTTATAAATCATTAGAAATTTCAGTTATTTTCTGTTATAATTTAAGTATAATATACTTAATTTATGACAGGTAAATCCAATCTATTAATTTAATAATATTTGAATGCTCATAATGATCCGATCCAAAATAACCATAAATCTTAAATCATATTTTTTATATAAACTAAAAAGACAATTCATTTTTTCTCTAGTTTAATTTTCATCTAAATAAAGTATTTCAAATAATGAAATTAATTTTAAAATTATGAAAAATTATCTCTATTCATTTTATCATTATTATTATTATCTGCAAGTATTTCTGATATTCTTTATCAGTATATTCCAATATATCAACCCTTTTATTATATTCTGATTTGAAAATATATATATATAATTGGAGAAAGATTAATAAAAATTTCGTTCTCCTTTAATAAATTAATAAATTAATATATATAAATGATTAAATTATTTTTTACCTAAATTAGCTTCATCATATACGTGTTGCCCAAATCCCAAATCATTTGGGATTTGGGACGCCAAAATCCCAAATTACTAGTATTTGGGATTTGGGATTTGGGATTTTGGCAAAAAATACTAATCATAATTTGGGATTTGGGATTTGGGATTTCGGCATTTGGGATTTCGGCATTTGGATTTTGAATTTGGGTGGCAGGTATACTTCATCAGAAGAAACTTTTGCCCAATGATTAATTGTAATCCATTGCTTCTTAAATTATTAATGAAAGTTTATAAATCCTAAAAATTTATTTAAATATTTAATTGTAAATTATTATTAATTATTCAATCATCTAAATAATTTCTCTCGTAATTCATATTAGAAGCAATTTTTACAATCGTCTTTCTTATAGAAAGATGAACCCATTTTTAGGTAATGTTTTTTCGTAAATTCAGTCTTACAATTATATGCAGGTTTAATTTGGTGGTGGTCCACTGATTAATTAAAAAGATCAAAAATTCAAAAATCTTATATTTATTTATTCTTTCTTTAATTAAATATTTCAAATAAATTAAATATAATTAAGTAATAACAATGCATTTGATCTTGAGATCTTTAACAATTGATTTTTAATAGATCATGAAATAAAAAATATATACTAACTGGGTTTTTTTTTCAGGTTTGTTCGTTTTCTTAGAGCTAGAGCATCTTCACTCAAAGGTTTTAAATGGAATTAGTTCAAGTCCTGTACATTATTACCCATTATCACATATTTTACGAAATTTTATTATAAAACAACAAATTTCTACTAAATAACAGAAATAATCACATATTGTTTCGATAATTTACTTATATAAACATTTAATTCACGAAAAATGATTATTAATTTTTTTGACTAGTTATCAAACGACTGACTCAACTTCTTGAAGATCCTACTGATTATAATGTTACGATAGAAATTGCAAAGTGCCTAATAATCAACCTTTCAAAGTTCATTCTTATATTTTACAATCCTGGAACCATTACTTTAAAATCAATTCAACGAAACTCCTCTCAATAGATTATATCAAAGTACTGACAATGCCAAACATTAATATTACTATTAAAATATTTAATGTTATTATCAAGTATGCATAATCTTAAATTTATTATATATTTATTTCTAAAAGCTAATGTGTAAAGTATTCGGGGGTGGCCTTAACGCCATGTGCCCCAATAACCCCAGATTAAAAAAAAAAGAATAATATTTGATGATTAAAAAAAGGATCATTTAACATATTTTTTTTTGAATTACTTAAAACATTAACATTTTACTTTGCCATTTTCCTTCTGCCTTCATCTTTTCAATCATCTTCTTGATATGAGGAAACATTTCATTTTCTTTACATTCCCTTAGAGCTGTTGTCTCAACCTTGAAAATTGCATTTTCGAGTTTGATATCAGTAATTATTTTTTGTGATTGTTGGATTTCTTTTCGAGCTCAGTAATTCGGTCTTCAGAGATAGTGAGAGCTGCCTTGTAGATGCTTGTTTCCAATTCAGCATCTATACTTCCCGGTCAAAAGTATCCAACCACTTAAAAATTATTAAAAATATTTTTAAAATTCAAATGTAAATTGTGGCACAACGAGAAATCTAAATTGCACATATTTTTTTTTATTATGTTCCCCTATACTGGGGCTATCATATAA